TACAAAGAAAAAAAAAGAAAAACGCGAAGGTAAAACTTTTTCATATATGACTTTTCTATTACAAATATCATCAGGAAGCTGTAGTTTAATTTTTATAGATTATACACCCCTGTATAGCCAAGTTTTTGGGGGCGTTAAATCAGTCAGTCTTGTTAGTTTTTGGCCAACTGCTAAACTGTCATAACGATATTTTATGAAGTAACTTTTTTGATGTTACGATTTTTTTGCAGTCATAATACTGTAAAATTTAATTTACACAAAAAAGTGCTTCTGGTAAAATCACTGAAAACGCACCGATTAAAAAAACAATTGACTATCGCAAAGTCAACTAGCCTGTTCTTGTTCTTTTAATACGTCCCTATTCAATTAGTTCTACTCCAACATCAACAACAAGAGACTGTCTGTATTAATTAGTTTTACGTAACACTCTTTACATAACTTAAACTGTGTAGATAGAGGTCTCTGTCTGGAATATAGGTCTTTCTTTTTCCCACCAGAAAACCGCCTTCGGAAAGAGAAAACGGAGACGGCGTTCAGTATCCATCTGTTCTCAAATTTGATGCGCGATGGAGATTAGCAAGCTGACAAGATACGCCTCTGAGTATGACTTATGGTTTTATCTGATGCTGAAATTTAAGAATTGTTTCTCGTTGGCCGCCACATTTCTATCTCTTAATTCGAGTCGGATTTTATCAGCATTTGAATTATTTTTGAATTCCCAACATTGCTCTTCAACACTTTTGCTACAGCGATCAAACTTGGAGTTTCAGATTGTACTTTCATTCTTGTTTCTTGATGACAGAAGATCGATAAGCGTTTATAACATCTCTAGACGAAATCTGTTAATTTCCTTTTTAATAATTATTATACGATGTTGTAGTGTTCAATAATAGTTGTTTTTTGCTCCTTCTTACACTAAACGTCAAATAGTAAACAGCACGGAAAGATTCATCAAAATAATTAGACTAAATAATTTGATGATTACATTTTCGAGTAAGATTGAAATTATCTTTTTTCCTTCAAATATAATTACAAATGTATAACATTCATAACGCATTTCTTTGGGTTGTAAATACCAATTTCTATGGTACTTTTCAATCCGCCATAATGGGCTGTCAAATTCGTAATCAGCGACCCCAACCCTCATGATTTCATGCTATTTCGGAGATGTCTTAGCGTTTTACCAAAAAAATTACCTTGTACATCGGTTTCTGGGCTACGTATTAGCATTCAGCATAAAAAAAATACACAAAATCTGTGTACTCAAGTGTCTGGTATAGAACTTTTTTTTGTGGGGCTGTGTTATTTTCTCTCCTATTAATATCTTATGATATTTCATACCAAACATGAAAGATGCTCTAATTTAATTGACAATTATTCCTCTAAGGGTTCGACTTACTGAATTACGGTTTTTTTTCAACATTTGCATCTCATTCGTATGCTCTTAGTACTGACTAAAAGCCTAATAGGGCTACCTTTCAGGATAACGAAACACTTTTTATTTCTCGACTTCAAAAGGCGCTTTATTTATATAAAGTCGGTTTCAATTAAACACTACAGTCATACAAAAGTACTAAGTAACGCAGTGGCTGGTTTTTAACTCTACGTGCATGCTGCCATGCTAATGTTCCACTAAAGCTCCGCGGTTTTGAATAAAACAATACCCAGGTTCTTCAAGGATCTACAACGTTTAGATTGCCAAGAGAAATTCCGCAATTTCAACGGCTATTAAATAAATCCGTATGAATGGTGTTCCAAAGGAAAAACCTATTCAGCCCTTCTCGGTGTTAGAAAACCGAGAGTTCTTCTGCGAGTATTTTAGCAACGGAGCACGCTTTAGAAGGGAATCCATCCAGAACGAAACATAGCTTGCGTATTTCCGGTCGAGAGACACATCCGACAACGAAAGGGTTCTCCAACGACTAGAATGCTCTGCTCGGGCTTGATTTAAAATATCGCACCAGCACGCAGTTTTACATACTAAAGGCGGCTGCTTTATTTAATTTATTGGAGTTGTACCAATGTTTAACCCCCGGCCCATGTGTCTTATTAAGTTTGCTGTCTATTACTTTAGTCCGATAAAACGTCCCCTTGTGTGTCGGTCCCCAAGAAATTAATCTGTATCGCTAAGCATATTTATACATTTATACCATAGCCAGAAAAATGCACAGGGTGGGCAGAAATTAACCTGCATTATTTTACTAGCGCATTTTATGACTAAACATACGAGTAAGGGGGCAACAACCCCTTATAAGTGAACTCCTGAATAAATAATAAGAGTCAAAAGCAGTTTCACCGTAGTGGCCTTAGAACTAACCTCAAGAATTGAAATCAACATCTGGAAGAACCTACGGGATTTGATAGCGGATGCGCCCCCATATAGACTAGCCCGAGAACAAGGGCAGGCCAAAAATTAGACACAGCGTTTTGTGCAAAAACGTACGCCAAATTAACAAAAAAATGGCAAATATTTTCGATAAAATTAAAAGTGAATAAATAAATACAGGGTGTATTCACATGAGATAGAGTAATCATAAATTAACAAAAAAGTTGTATATTACAGGGGCGTAACAGATTTCAAAATACAGCGAGTATTAATATTGGGGAGTTTCATCACAACGTGACAACAGCGCTCAACCTAACGCCACACACCTAGATAGACTTGTCCTACGGAATAACAAAAATGTAAACAACTATTATTGTGAAACATTTAGTAAATTTCAAGATAATTGCTTTCCAGTTTTTAAATAAATAAAATAAAATGTATCGATTTTGTAGTACGTTTTGTTGTGCTTAAATTTTAGCTCGAATTTTAGTAATTATGAATCTCTTAAAACAGGAGCATAAAAATTATAAATACGTATACATATTTTTCAAATTATAAATTTGAAAAATATGTACTTAAAGTGGGTACCCAAAGATTCACGTTATCCAAATAATCATACGTATTAAAAATAATTTAGGTACTGACCAAAAAGTAACTCAGTAATTTTTAAACAACGCACAAGTACAAAACAAAAGGAAATAGTGGTACGCAAAAGACACTCAGACACGGTCCAATTCCAGATACCAACTGAATTGCGTATTGCTAGCTGGACAGCTTGGTACCTCCTGTTATTCGCCGCGCCGTTGTCGTATTGCTCGACATGAATTTTATCGAATTTTAAATTTATTACAACGCCAATTATTTTTTAGAACTTCAAAAAAAGTGATAAACATTGTATTTTATGGTATTCTATGCGCGCAGTAATATTAATATTCCTTAATTAATCGAACTTTTATACATCGAGTTGGAGATTTTGATATTTTTTTCTCGGAAATGGTTGAGTTTAGAATCCATGTCATATAAGGTTTATTTGTTTATTTTAATGTATTCTATCGTCTGTTAAAATTAAGGCAGTTCTAACACCCTGTATAAAATTGACAGCTCACAAAGAGAAAATAAAAACCAAGTCATGAAAAAAGTGTCCCACTAGAATACTGGGCTTTTCAGATATTGATAATAATTACCACAGAAAGAATATTAGACGGTTGTAAAATTCAAAACATATGCTTACAATAAATATCCAAAGTTATAACAAACAATTTTTCTGATTGGCTTTTTAATTAATAATAAAAATTAATATTGTATTCAGAATTTTCAATATTCTCTTAAAATAAGAGAATTTCTTGAACGTATGAAACTAACGAGAAAATGGAAATGTTACCAATAAATTTTTTAAATAAGTTTGTTTAGTACTGCTACGGGGATTCCTAAGGTAAAAAAATATCGAACAGTTCTTTCTCCTGTAAAATGCGAGTTAAAAATTTTTTTATAAAGCTTTAAACATGGACTGATGAATACCACATCATCAGACTTGGGTCACAAAAATAAATATCGCTGATTAAACTTCCTTGAAATTTTACGTAAATCGGATTTAGATCATAGTAATTTTGCATTTTATAGTAAATAAAATACCTATATTGTGCTTTTCATATAGTCGAACTTCCTTCAACTTATCTTAATAATTTTCTTTCAACACTGGTTAATTGTGATGCAGGGATTTATTTACTATATATTTTTTAATTTACATTGTACTAAAATATCTGAAAAAAAATGTTTCGGAAATACTACCAAAGAGTATTTCGTTAACTGTATTTATTTGATTTATAATAAAGGATGTCCCAAAAGAAACGCAGGAATTCATATGAGGAAAAAAGGTTTTATTAATTAAAAAGTTGGCCAAGTTTTCAAATGTTTTTAAAGGGTAAACTGCCATGAAATATGAAAGAGGATGTCGAAGAGATCTCCTCCAAATGAGGCCACAAAAAGTTCAACAGCTCTCAATATCGTTCTCCATTGACAATCACTAGGCTGGCCCTATTTTCTTGTTCACATACCCACTAAGAAATAAATGCGCCACGTCGCTAAAGATGATTTTCTTAACAAAATCACCATCCACTTGTTGATTCTTCAACATTCAATCAACGAATATCCGGCGCATTAAATGGTCATTTGGTTTCAATTCCCGAGTTAGCTGAATCTTGAATGGATGCAGACGCACACCTTTTGTTAAAATCCGCTTTGTGAAATGATTAATAATTGCAGTGACCGACAACGCACTGAGGTTGCGGGAATTTCCGCCACACTATCACTCATCAACAGCAACATTTTCGGCTGAACGGTCAGCACGAGGCCGAGCTGTTTCTTTTATCGTCTATAACCGAACCTGTCTGTTCACATTTGACAACTTCACAGTTGTTTCATTCGGGGCGTTCCTTCTACCGAAAATTCCAAGTAATTTGCGCACATTCTTAGCTACACACTCTCCGTACTTGTAATGAATTTTCACATTCTTCACTCGCTCATCCGTTTTTCTAACCACGAAGTGTTACAACATGTGGCCCTAATGCTACCAACTATTTGGAATGAAAATGGCGCACAATCCAAATCCCGCGTTAGATTTGGGACACCCTTTAGTTTACACTAACCACGGCGTTTATAAAATATCATTTTGCAGGATAACAAAACGTACACAACAATAAGCAAATTGTCCTTCAACACCAGCTACTACCAAAATGGGAACAGGATTTATTGTTACGCACAGAATAAGGCCAGGAACGAAAGCGGTGAACCAGAACTCTATGAAAGCAAAACATTGGACGTTCTATGTAAGGAGGACAGTTAAAGATTTTTTTTAAACTACGTGAATATTTCTCATTTCAGATCCACCAGTGTTTAATTTCGTCGCACACGATATTATTATAAACGAAACTTCGAAAAACAACACCGTTGACATGGATTGTTTCTTCATCGCGAACCCGCAGGAAATGAGGGCGATAGTTTGGTAATTAATACATGCTATAGTTTACAATTATGTAATGCGCAACCTGACGTGATTGTAGGTCGAAGGATGGAAAAAATCTGACAGTGAGCGATACGAGCAAATACAAGGGAGGTACTGTAACGCGACCAAGAATTACCATAAAAAGTGTGGACCGTGAGGATATGGGCGAATACACGTGTTCAGTAAGGAACGATGTTGGGACAGAGACGTCGGAGGGCATATACTTGAATGTTCAGTGTACGTATTAATTTATTTATATAATTTCTAGAATTTAAATCGTATATAATGTAGGGAATAGAGGGAATAGTATATCGAGCTTATACAAGCTATAACAAAGGACCCCGCGCGGTCTTTATGAAAATGTGGGCTCGTAGGCCAGGAAATACAGGGTGTCCCGAAATTCATGCAACGAAATTTTGTCATAGATTCTTAAGACAAATTTAGGGGATCCATATTTTTTATTTTTGCCAAGTGGCTCCCTCTTTCGGAGTTACAGCCCCCTGAAATCTGCCCCTTAGAAGTATTTTTTATATCTCAAAACCATGTTGTACGAGAATCATTAAATTTGGCACACAGGATTTTTATGACATGTGGAATCTCACAGTGCTAAGCTTTTTGGAACCAGAAAAATTTGGTCCCAAATTAGATTTTTTTTAACTATTAGCTAGAAAACCATTGAATTTAGAAACTTTTTTATCCCTTGATATTTGTTTCATAAAACGCAATGTTATTGAGGAAAATGGCGAATCACATTTTGACATTTTTCTCGAAAACATTGCGTTTTACGAAAAAAGTATAAAGAGACAAAAAGTTTCTAAATTTAATGGCTTTCTAGTGGACTAATAATTTTTAAGAAATTTAAATATGCGACCAAATTTTTTTGGCTCCAAAGACAAGGGGGTTCACGAAAAATTCCAGGTTACAAATTTGAAATAAAAAAATATGATAGATTTCAATGTATTATTATGAAATCTACCATGAAAAAAAAAACATTGCGATTGTGGAAGATCCTCGGGATCGTCCAGACTAATAATTAGTTAATTTGTATATAAGGCCGTAACTTGTAAACTATTCAACTTACCGATTCCAGATTTCGTGTGAGTTATTAGACAGTGATAAGGAATGAGAGGATGCGATGCCAAAACGTTCTGGTAATAACGCAGTTTATAATTGTTTAATTCAGGAGTCATAAATAATTTTAACAGAAAAACATTAAAATTTATATTTTGTTATTAAAGCACGTATTATTTTGCATACTTCAACTTACGAAATAATTTATGGACGATAACTATATTATACAAGGTGAATTTTAAATGTGGTCCAAAAAAAGTTGTTCTTCAAAATTACAAATATATGTATATTTTGAAATCGTTTATGGGGAATTTTATATACAATAAGATTTAAATCTCTCAGTATCATATTTCAGATTAATCCTGACTTAACGAACTCTGACGGATTCTAGTTTTAAAAATAATAAACTGTTTTATGAGCGAATTAAAATTGAATGGGGTCGTTTACCTTAGATTCCAATAATTGAATTTGCTCTTAATTTTCAATAGTAAAAGATTATATGTTTACTTTAATTCACTTACTTTTCAGAAAAAATGGAGAACAAAGGAACAATTTTAAAATAAAATTTAAACATTTTCTGTACTATCTAAAATTATTGTCTCACTCGCTGTGACGTCAACCCGTATACATGTGCAATCGAGACATAAACAAAATACACAGAAAATGATTTGACATCATGATTCATGACAGTTTTGATATTTTATAATTTGAGGTATTATCACAAACCTAGTAGATCTATGTTATTTATTATTACATAGTGATATGATAAGTATATTGTAATTTTCGATACTCTCCATGTTAATTAAAATTATAATAAGCAAAAATAACACACAAAAACACAACCGGTCAACAGCACAACAAATATTAAATGGTAAATGAAAAAAAATGTGACTGTTCCATCAATGTCAGAATAGCCAACTTAACTTGATATACCAATTTAAATTTAAAGCGTAATGCGCATGCGACATAGTTGACGTCACAACGCCCTATAGAAAAGGACGAAAAATGTTCATATTTTAATGTTGTATATCTCTGTTAATATTAATAAAAACAAAATTCTGAAAAAAGCTATATTATTTTTGAAACATGCTGAATTCAAATAAATAGAAAAAATTATAATATATAGTTAAAAATAACCCTAGTCTTAACTTTATAATAAAGAAAATGAAAATGTAATGTCATTGAATTGGAAAGCCCAATATTTAAAAAGAAAATCTATTAAATTACCTACTCGAAACGTTTCAGTAATTATTGGTAAATAAGATACTTCAACAGTCCGTTGCTACAAGTTTAGTCAATAAACCTAGCATGCCAAAGTTGTCCTAATCTGCATATATTTGTATACAACCTTCCCATATTATACAAGTAGATAATTAATCTACAACAGGAAACTGGTAATTAAAAAAAACAATTAACTCTTCACTGATTGTGACAGTAAACACATAACGTCTAATGTTTTCTATGATGTGATCTAACTACAGCACATTAATAAATTTATTAAAAAAAAATAGATTGCGATACACAAATAACGAAATGTAAATTTGAATTGGGAAATGCGTATTTTGATTTTGTACAAATATGCTTTAAATAAAATAATATTTCTCAGTACTACAGAATAATTATTGCTTTCAAAGCAGTGACTTCAGCATCGACTTACTTGTTTACCGTAAACCAGTGGCGAGACAGATAGTACTAAATTTGCTAAATTTTATAATTTCTTGATGAACTTATTATGCAAAAATTTTACTACTAATTTAAATTATACTGAAAATAGCAGCGAGGTACGTTAGTTTTTTTATACTGAACTCTTTTGTATAGTGTAGTAGTTTATTATATACCTAATATAATAATAAACAGTAAAAGCTAAGTATGTAGGTGCAAATAAATTATTGATGAAAATAGGAATGGCTAGGGTAAGAGAAGGGCCATTTTTGTGAAGATATTTAAAAAAATTTTACATAGAGCCTAAAAAGGTATTTATTTATTATCTTTTGTTTCTATTTCATATAAGAATTAGTGTTTAAGGGTTCTGTGTAATACCACAACACTATATAAGATGCTCTATCAGCGATTCTCGATAGGTTTTCTATTAAAATATAGGGCATATTCATTTTAAATTATTTTATTTCTAATTTTATACCCAAAAATGTATTAATTATATGTTCTACACAGAAATCTGTACCGCTTTAAAATATATGTATGAATTTAAGATTCACCCTGTATAATTAATTCATCCTGGTAATTTAATTAATCTAGAGATCTATAGATAATGAATTTTCAGTCTTTTGATGTAAATAGTAGATCTATTAAAAAATATATGAGCAATAATTGATATTAATCTCTTCTCTGTACGATTACGGTATTATTTTTAATAAATTCAGATAAATGGCTTTAAATCTAGTATCTCATATTTCTCATCTTCTTAGATCCTCCGGATGTTGAAGTTGTGATGCAACCAGCAGCCCCCGTAAAAGCTTTAGAAAAGAGTACGGTTCTCCTGGAATGTAACGTAACTTCAGGAAATCCTTCGACACTGGAAAAAGTATCACTTCTCCAAGAGACAAACGTACGTAAAATTAATACAGTCGCATTTTTAGGTACGCTGGTTTCTGGACGGGCAACTTATGAAAGAATTCCCCGAGTGTAACTATACGAGCTACGACGAGAGCGGAACCGGAGAAGGGTACGGAGGTCCTTTCTGCGGCCTGGATCCGAGCATTTTAAGCCTAGAGAGAGTAGACGAGACGTTTTCCGGCAATTATACATGCCAGGGGAAGAACTTTGCGGGATGGGGTAACGAGTCCGAACCCAGGGAGTTAATTGTGTATTGTAAATATCGCAAAGAAAAATCAAACAGGCGTTACATTGAAGTTTTCTAGATCCCCCCGGCCCGGCCGTCCTCAGGTACCACCCTTCGGATGTGGTGAAGGGTGGATCGGTAACTTTAGAGTGTATCGTACAGAATCCCGGTAATCCCGATAATTTGACTTACGTCTGGTATAGAGGTGTACACGAAATGGTCGAGGTTACGGTTTCCAATTTTACGATATCGCCTGTACGATTGGAAACCAGGAGTAATTTTACTTGCACTGCTGTAAACGAAGGTGGGAGGAGCGAGAATGCCACGGTGTTCATAAATGTGAATGGTAAGTAAAAAAAAATGTTGTGAATGGTTTTTAGTCCAGGGAACCAAGGGTTTCCCCTCCGAATTCTTTCAGATAGAACCGATTGACGTGAAACTTGGACTGTAAGTAGAAAAGAGCTCGAGAAACAAAAGTTATATAGTGCCGATGAGCACTTTTGCCCAGGGGGTGGAGGCCACCCCTTCTAGGAGTTGAAAATAAAATATTGAAAATAACCACAGGAATCGATACAGCAATCAGTTTTAAGCAAAAAAAAGTACCTTATGAACATTTTTCTTTAAGTTGATATTTTCTAAGTTATTGGTGATTGAAAATATACATTTCTTATTAAAAAAAGACGCTTTTCAGTAGTTTCTCTCGAATAACTCGGAAAATAGACATTTTATGAAAAAAAAAAACATCACGAGCAAAATGAAGCTTATAGAAAAAGAAAAAGATGGAGTTTTATTTCATTTATATAGTTGCAATAGGTGCCGAGATACGACTGGTTGAAGATAATTTCATGTTTGCCAGAAACGAAATTGGAAGCATTTAACGTAAAATAACTAAAAAAATTATATTTTCAAGGAAAATGCACACAAGTACTTTACACAAATCTTTAAAATTAACTTGACTTTAAATCATTAGCATAAAAATTAACAGAGTTATGATCAAAATAAAACTGTTAATTCGCTTTTTCGGAAAGAAAATCAGTAAAAAAACTAATGAATTTTTCACGAGCTCTAAAATTAAAGGCAATCCTTCTACAATTTATATTTTTTATATGCTAACAATATATTATACAAATTTAAGCGATTTAGAATTAGACTGGGCGGTATCTGTTTTGGTTTGGGAGAATCGTATATCCACGGAGATTAGCTTTTTGGCTTTCAAGTATCACTAGAAATGAAAATATTTCTATGCGCATAAAAAAACGTGGGCTTAACTTTTGGTGGCACAATATGTTTAAAAAATTCGAAAATTTTCATATTTTTCTTCCTATTTAATCTTTTCAAGAATTGATTTTAGGCGAAAATGAAAGAGAAAAAAATGTTTGTAATAAATTGTTTTGCAAAATATTACTAGTTACAAATCGAATGAATCATGGTTATTGTAAAAATCGAAAAAAATCGCCAAAAATGGAGTTAAAAAAAATTACTTTTTAGGGAATTACTTTGGGGTCTTTAATTTGGAAATAGGGCCTTTCAGCTCAAGAAAACTTCATGGTATGTAGAATCATCACACCAAATTTCATCAAAATCGGTTTGATAAATTTTGCATAATAATTTTGTAATCCAATTTTCAAAAAAATTTCTCGCATGCATAAATAATTTTAAACACGTTTTAAAGTAGGTTGCCAATGAAGAAAAGTATTGCAAACTTAGACCTGGTAAGTACTCAAAATACCAAAGATATTTTTCGAAAAATCAGCCCGGATGTCCCAGTAGGTACATATAGTGTGAATGGCGGTTAACTTTGATCGGCTATAACTACATAATTAATAGATCAATCGATCTGTTTTTTTTTAAGAAGCGTCTTTCCAAGAACTTTTAAAACCTATTTTAAAAAATTTGATGTGGTTGAGGATTCACAATGTTATTCTAATTGTTTATAAGTACAAAAATTCGACCAATGTTTAAACAAGCGCCAGAGCTCTCCTAATTGACGGATTCGAATTTTTCAAAAAAAGTTTGAAAGCTTGAGAGCCCTTCTATATGTGATTAAATTTTCAAGTATCTAAGGGCCTTGGTTTTTGCTGTGCAAAATTTTGAAAATTTGCAAATTTTTTTTCAAAATCTGGATTGCAAAATTATTATGCAAAATCTATCGAACCGATTTTGATGAAATTTGGTGTGATAATTCTACATAACATGAAGTTTTTTTGAGCCAAGTATAAAGGTCCTATACCCAATTTAAATACCCCAAAAAAATTCCCTAAAAAGTATTGTTTTTTAACCCCATTTTTGCGATTTTTTCGATTTTTACCATAATAATCATGATTCATTCGATTTGTAACCAGTCATGTATTGTAAAAAATTTAATTACAAACATTTTTTTCCTCTTCCATTTTCGCCTAAAATCAACTCTTGAAAAGATACATAATTAAATAGGAAGAAAAATATGACATTTTTCGAATTTTTTTAACGTATTGTGCCGCGAAAAGTTAAGCCCACGTTTTTTTTATGCGCATAGAAAAATTTTCATTTCTAGTGATATTTGAATGCCAAAAAGCCAAAAATCTCCTGGATATACAATTTACCCAAATATGGACTTTTTGAAACATACCGTCTGGACTAAATGCATATTTTCGAAAATATTACGTTTTGATTAAAAAAAAATGTTTTTTATTCCAATAAAGTAACATATTTTTGAAAATAACTAAAAATAAAAAAGATACAAAAAATATTCAAGAGTACCTACAAATGTTTAGAATTTGTTTTTTTTTATTTATGTAGGATAAAAATTAACAGAGATGTATCTGCTAGAAGTTTGCAGTTTAGCAGTTTAACCTCAAAAACCTAAAAAATAACGCGTTAAAAAATATTCAATTTTACAGTAATTTTTTGCTGTCGAAATTTTCCGTAAAATCGCTTTTGCAACGTTTTAGCTTTAAAACTAAGGAAATTATCGTTAAAAAACCAACAGTACCTTACCGCTTCAATTTTCGGAACATTTCAGTATTTTGGTTATCCACAATAAAATAATATGTATGCATATATATTTGAAAATTAGAAATTATGATTTTCTGCATGAAAAAAATATTGACAAATAATTATTTTGAATATTGCAGTATTAAAGTACTTAAATCGCGAGAAAAGTATTACGAAAAATATAATTCATTTTAAATAATCTAAAAGCCATTTTTTTCTATTTTGTCATTGGGAGTGTTTTTTAAGGGTTAAAACAATGCGATAAATTATATATTGTATCATAAACAGGTAAAAGGACTTAATTTACCCTGTTTGTAGGTACCTACTATCAAATCATTTCAAACTGTTAAAAACAATTTTTTTAATATTTTGTTATTAGAGGTAGTTTTTGGAGGGTTGAAATATTGTAATAAATTGTTTATAATACCATAAACTATTGAAAAGTTTTCTATCTGTAGTATATGCGCTATAAAAATATTTTAAGGTCAAATAAGCTATTAATTTTATATTTTTATCATCAAGGGTGGTTTTTCAGGGTTGAAACTTTATAAAATAACGTAAATTATAACCCACAATATAAAACAATATTTATTCTATATATTAAGATATGATTTTATTCCATAAGGAGTGGTTTTCATCCCCTAAAAATAAGAGGCGCATATCAAGCATATATAACTTTTCATCTACAGGGTGAAATAAACTTAATTCCAAATTTTCATAAAAATCGGATCTATCCGAAAGTATTCGGAGGTTTTACCCTATTTTTCTTTTCGTTCCCTGGACTATTTGTCGATACCGCGCGGAGTGCTTTTGCAAAAAAGGCATAAAGCTGATTGCTGGAGCAAAGTATTTAAAAAGGCATTCTTTTATTTTCAATTCCAATTAAATGTTCTCGGAGCAATGATGCCAGTTTGGGAAGTTTTTCCTAGTTCTAAAATGAAACTATCAAAATAGGGTTTGTGCAAAATTAGACATTTCGAGGTAACACATTTCTCACAACTGGAAATATGGTAAAAATTAGGTTTTTTTTATAGAAAGGCAGTCAATTTCTCACTTCTAGAAAACAACTTGCTGTTACATTCTGTTATTTCAACCACGTACAAAGATATATCGTTTATTTGCTATTCTTAAAATGCGATAAATTAGAAGCAAAACTATTTTCTCAGCAAATATTGAGAGTGGTATTTTGAATTTTTGGGGTAGCTGAATCCAAATCCGTTTGACGAAGTCAGCCCGTGTTCAAAGTTATTTGAAAGTCAACTCCGAAAAAGCGAGAAATTTCGTATTCGGAGACAATACCTTTCTTTCGTAACATGCCTACAGAAATAATTTTAATGACAAAAACAAACTGGGATAAAAATTCTCGCTGCAGGCAATAAAAACATAAAAAACGTACAATGCCTTCCTTTTATGGCATCTCTCCCAGAAATTCATTTGATAACAAAAACATATTGAGCTAAAATTTTCGTAAACGAGATTTTCCAAATTAAAAATAATTCATTAAAAAGACCTTTTAGTTTTTGTTTGCACTCCAGTCAAAAAGTTTGTAACATCAGAAGCAATTAGTTGTAATTTCTGTTGTATTGAGGACTGATTTTTTAGCTCCTCCTGCATTCATTGAGAAACTTCCGACGTACCGAGGTGTTCTGTATTCCTCCAAACACATAAATTTAACTTGTAAAGTTGAATGTTACCCTGAATGTTCAATAATCTGGAAAAAGGATGGCATCATACTAAATACGGACGAGAACTCGCTTTATAGTGTTAAAACGACGAAACTACCTCCAGACTACAGGAAAAACGACTTTGAGTCAATCAATTCGACTCTAGTAGGTATAAACCTTACTAAACGGAGAAAATTTTGCAAATGTAAATATACTTTTTAGATATGGAACATGGATCGATGGCCTGAAAAACAGCTAAATAAAAGTTCTCCAAATTCCCATTACTCCTGTGAGAGTATGAACAACTCGCTTGGACTTGGGGTTAATTCAACAATTGAAATCGCAGTAGATTGTAAGTCAAAGACAGTGAATCTTTAAAAGTACAAACGTTATTTCTTATTCTTCACCTAACGACCAATTAGTGTAACAAAATAACAGGGATAACTTCAGAAAACTGTTTTAGATCCTCCGGAAAACGTCCATGTTTCTCCTAAGATCATTAACGTTGTTGAACACCAAATTCCAAGTCCAGTTAAGTGTCATGGCGAAGGTCGTCCTAAACTCACGTATAAATGGAGAAAGAACGCTACGTCTGAACCGATATCCGGAAACGAAGACTTAGTTTTAGGACCAATGAAGAGGTCGGATACCGGCGGATACACTTGCGAGGCGGAAAACAAACATGGAACCAAATTTGCCGTGGC